CCCTCGGCCGGTTCGGGCCCCTGAAACACAGCGCCGGTGGTAGAATTTTAACCCACAGCGTCGCAATTTGCGACTCATGGACAAACCAAAAGGTCCTTTGTTTGGAATTGCTGTGTTGTAGGATAAGATAAACATGGTCATGCTGAATATACATGCTGTTTAAGGGAGTGTTTCACATTCGTATGAGGTTTTGAACTGAAGCAGCTATCTTGAAGGTCATTTGAGCAGCTCGCAGCCCAGCCCCCTAAACCCCTCTACTTTCTGAGGCATACGCTCGCAAAGATATGCAGATTTTTTCGGTGAAACTGCTCCAAAATCACCCAGACACCCATGACCTCATCATAACATCATTCCCATCCTGCCATTCCACTGGCCACACGGTGATTAAGGCCAACAAAAAATATGGCTGTAGAGTCGTCCATAGCGTGCGTTGGTGAACACAATCACCGGCTATAGCGGGCATTAATTGGCTCTTAACCAATGTTATGCAAGCTACGATGACATAAGTAATGACGTGTTGAGGAACACATTTACTAAACAGGGAAGTTGCGTTGTTTAGAGCAGTCTTTTCCACCTAAAAGTATACCTCTGATGCTTGCTACAACATCTTCAAACGTGGAATGTTGGCTTGAAACATAAAGCTTCCCACATGTAATTGCAAGACGATGTTATTCTATGCGAACCGTCCTGCCACCATGAACAAAGGGCTCCATAGCATCTGAAGCTCCATGCTATCCTTGTTTTACCAGAGGTCAGGGACGAGCTCAGGGCGAGCTCTGCCACAACCGGATTTCTCTCAGTGTCGGAAGTTTATGGACATCATGGTAACTTATGATCCGCGGCGTCTGTATGGCTAAGAACGGCTTCAGCCCCTGAGAAGTTGAGCTGCGCACTGGAGTCAGCTCTGTTGACTGATCACGGGCTTTACACAACGCGTCTATGTTTGTTGTTTCGTGTTGACCAAGCGTGTGACCAGAACATGGCCAACGAGTCCCCCCCCGCCCCGTTAGTTTGGTTGGTTGGAGCGCCTGCCTTTCGATTCACCCACCAGTGGCAGGGTGGATTTGTGTCCCTTACGGCGCTCGCTATTTGTCCCAGACTGGTACGGTTTGCAACAGGTGGCAGCGATTATACTAAAGTTCAGGTCAACTCAGAGGGCAGGATTGACCGTGCAGAGCATTGCGACACGTTAAGCTCCTGCCGTCAAATTCTGCCGTTGTCCCGGAATTTCACGATCGAATGGTAGGGTCGCGGCTCAGTTAGCAACCATTGTATAGTGTTGGCGCCGGTCCCAGAAACCCATCCATTCAATGTGGTGTGGACAGTTTTAAACACTCATGGTGGCAATTATTGATTTTGGTCCGAACTCACGAAGTTTGAATGTAATTCCTACGAAATCGCCGGGTATCTATGGCAAGCCGCTCGCTTAGTGGGCAAGGCCCCGACGCCCCCACCCCACGTATTATCACGTCTGGCATGTCACTGACGCTTGCGGTATCTTCCTTTCAAGAAACCGTTCCGCTCCTACTGATACGTTGTCTTGTCTCTGCCCTTCGACCTTTGTATTGGCTTGCCTCGTCGGTTTCGACAGCGCGCTATTATCTCAAGCTGTAACTGCTGAGTCGCTCTCACTGTTTCGTAACCCGTTAGGCTTATTCACGCTGTTCGAATCCTGAGCAATGGCAGCATCGCTGTCAGTAGTCAGCACATTGCATATGAATGTCAGAGCAGTCCAAGCCAGTAGGGAGGCTTGTGTGACTTGGTTTCGGGCCAGATGAACCGAACCCGGCCGAGAAACGAGATAATGGCCAGAACCCGTATTGTTATCAACATTTTCCCGTGTTTGGTGCTTGCCGGCATTCATGTTCATATTCATGTTAACTTATGAAGGATTCGTCCCCAAAGGACCCAGTTAGGTGTACACTGTGACTTAAAGTAGCAGACATTTTCACATACTTAATAAAGCGGTCACAGTCACGATACATGCAGAAAATAGCACGAACAATCGATTGCCATTTCTGTTCGGTAACCCGCGGCATGCAGGAACACCTTGCGGTTCTGCACCTCGATAATAGCATCTGGGAGGGCGCACGCACGGGAGAAGAGCATGGTCGCGACCATGGAGAAGATTCCCTGCGCGACAGACAGGCAACGTCTCTCCAGTCGCAGCTTTTCCGCAGCGGCCATTCTCGTTTCTCTCTGAGATATCTGGGAGCATCTAACAAAAAGGGCTCTGAGGCTCGCTCCTCCTCCTAAAAGAAGAGGAGGACCGAGCAATTGGCGCTGGCGCCGGCTGCAGACGCTTCGATGGCAAATTCCATGCCGCCTCTCCGCCAAACACAAGCCACCAATCGCACGTGTTCTCCGCCAATCAACATCCAGAACTAGTACTGGGCCCAGTGCAACCTGCAAATCACATCCCGCAAATTTGAGTCGCCAGCGAACTGGCATCTCCAATCCGCAGTGAGCATCGCTGCCATAGTTTTGCTTTGGACAGTTATCTCGACACCCAAATGCGCGATGACGCGTAGCGCCGCGGGATGTTGCTAGGTTCGTAACGGGTGGGCGGCGAGTTCGATTCCCGGGACGGCGGCAGGCATCTTTGATTGGGCCCACTTTGCACGCTCGCGCCGGATTTTCTGGAGCAGTTCATAGGCAGTAGAGTGATGAGATGTTCATGGTGTGCAAAACTCAGCCATCATCAATTTCATTATACGGTCAGGTACCGGTCATGATGAGAACTCACGCCGGCATTCGGCCTTTCCGTCAATAGCGTCGGCTCTGGACATACGTTCCTTGTATTTAGCCGGGGGCGAAGCCTAGCCGGTATCTACGAGTTGTCCGGATGTGGTGTGAACCACGTCGCGTAGAAGAGCCTACCTCGAAACAAAAATAACCGGACTTCAACCACCTTGTTTCGGGTGGCTTGGTGTTCTTCGTTTTACCTGTATGTACCTCAAGGTGTAACTGAAATAGAGAACGCAATTCTACCGGTATTTATATGATGGTGCATGTCACATATCTGCACCAATACAAGTCAGCGGCATTGTTATCTCCACCTGGTCCTCTAATTGTTGGCACGTGGTCGCTGTGGCCTCCCCTGCCCCCGCACTAACCTCCACCACTGATTGAGTCAGGGGCGGATCCAGGGAGAGTGGTCACGGGGCACGTGACCCATTGTGGTACCTCGAAGTGGCCCATAGACTCCGAAGGGGCCCGTAGATGACCAAACAGGTACAGTTTTTTTTTAAAACACAAAACAAAAAAATCTTTGGATTTCCAGGCCAGCGAGAAGAGTTGCAAACGAAAGTGAATGCCTACGAGAAAAGATAAAAATCTTCAATAATGGAAAAGTTGTTTATTGGAAATTATAAGCCTTATTACGCTGTCCAGAGTCCTATCCTGTTGCCGGGGACCTATATGCCCACTTGCAAGGTCATTTCGACCGTTAAGGAGCCTTTCACGTTAGCCCTGACTGCTTTGCGTTTGCTCGGAGGGACCTGCACGGTTTCTGTGCTCGTCCTGCTAGCGTGCCGGGGCGCTCTTGTCAATCAGAGGCCTTCCACGGATTCTTTCCAGTCGCCAGAAACGCTCTGTGGGCTATAGCAGGGGACCCCCATGTTAACTTGCTCGGGTATTCTCGGTGGCTCGGGGGACCTTTACGTTGGTTTCGGTTCACCTACCGACACACTTGCGATACGCTCATGGGCCCTCTGCATTGGTCTAGGGCGCTTCCAATTTTATGTCACTTGCTTAGGGCCCCATCTTCTTGTCGGGGGCTCATCTGTTAACCTGTTTATGTACACTCTGTCGGTCGGGGCTCTCGAAAATGGGTCCAGGGTGCTTTCCATTTGAATGGAGGGCCCTGCACACTTGTCGGGGCTCCATCTGTTAACCTGCTCCGGCACACTGAATTGTTTAGGGGCCCGGCACATTGGGTATTTTAATGTGGGGACCTACGCTCTTGTCAAGATTGAGGCAATCCACTGATGCACCATTTCCATGAAACTTAGCCACCCTAATGAGTTTCAGACAGGTGAGATATGTTCACTGCGCCGCAACACAGTGACAAGTCTTACCGAAAATTTGACAGATTCCATGACAAAAAAGCATGTGACAGATGACATGGCGCGGACCAGCCCCACACAGAGAGACAGGATAGTAGGTGTGGAAAAAATAAGGCCATGCGAAGAGCTCAAGCACTTGGCGGTGTGAAATAGTGGCGTAATTAGTAGCAGGACGAAAAATAGCATTGTATTTCCATCCCACCGTCGGTATAATGAGCTGCCAGGCCCGACTTTGATTCGCGACAATGCTCAGCACCTTCACAGAGGGACATGGCGAAATGCGCAAGCCCGATAACATAATGTAAGAGCTGCATGTCACTTTTGTGGAAGATTTGGTGCCGTAGACGGTAAAATAGGTCTCGTGGAGATTTATTTTGAGGCTGTGTACGGGCACCACTTTTTAAAGTGTATGACAGAATTTTTGCCACGGGTCTTCAGAGGAATAAGCTGATGAAATCTGGATGGACGCCTTCCTGCCAGGGTGAGATGTAGGCGACGCCACATAACCTCAGCAGCTGAGTGTGTCGTAAAGCCCCAGTGACATGACATGACGCCTTCCAGGAGTTGGGTGTCGTCAACAATGAATAGATGTCCGTTGGGGAAGGAAATGAGGGGGATGAGGATGACGATACGGAATAGGATAGTCCCGACTATGGGGCTCTGGGCGACGCTTGAGGTCAATGGAAGATCGGGTCAGAGCCGGCCGCCACCACCTGCTTACGGTCTTGCAGGTAGTTGCGAAATTTGTCCGAAGACATGCCGCGTCATTGTAGCCTGTTCAGGAAGACATCATGAGCGACGCCTCCTCTCATCCATACCTGCAAAGCTCTGCTCGCCCATCTATTCATCCCGATATCCATTCAGCGCTCCCATGCTGTCACCCCCACTCGTTTCCAGCTCTCCTTCCGTCACCTTGCCCTCGCCCCAATCCCCTTTCTCTTCGTCATCCCTCCCTCAACGAAATTCATGCACACACTCTCCCATCAACCCCTTCCCTTATTCATCACTACCGCTTACTTCTTTCTCCCTCCCCCTCCACACCTCCCTCCTGTCCGCCCTGACATCTTTCACCACTTTCTCACCGCCCCATCAACACTCCACATCCCTTCCTCCCCGCAGATTTTACTTCTCGTTCTACCACCTTCCTTCATCATTCCACCCATACATCTCCCGCGGCCTAATCACCCTGCGGCCCTCGCAGTTCGACCCGCAAGTTGATCTGGCCGGAGGCGGGCGCAAGAGACGGCGGCACAATGGCTGCCACCAGCGGCTCGCTGGTCGGCAGCAGACGGTACCGGTGCAGCATGTGACACAGCGCCAGCTTGATCTCCATCAGGGCGAACCGCTTGCCGATGCAGTGGCGCGGCCCGGCGCCGAACGGCATGTAGCTGCAGGGCGCGATATGCGGCTTGTTTTCGGCGCTGAATCGCTCCGGGTCGAAGCGTTCCGGGTCGCGCCACAGATCCGGGTCGTAGTGCATGCAGATTGGTACCGCGGCCACGAAGGTGTTACGGGGCATGTGTATCCCCTGTACTTCCGTCGCGGCGCTCACCTGTCGGCCGAACAGTCCCGGGACGGGCGGGTAGAGACGCAGTGACTCCTGAATCACCATATCCAGGTAGGGCAGGCCAGAAACAGTTTCGTAGTCGAGCCCGTCGCTGGCCGGCACTTTAGCCACGATCTCGTCGTACAGGCGACTCTGCACGGCCTGGTGACGCGCCAACAGGTAAGACGTGAAGGCTAACGCCGTACTCGTCGTCTCATAACCGGCCGCGACGAAAACGAACGCGTTTGAGAGCAGCTCTTCTTCCGTGATTGCTTGGCGGCCGCTGTCGGCACGCTGCGATTCCAGGAGTAGCTGCAGGGCGTCGGCGACCGTCGCATCGCTCCGTAGGCGGTGCTGGATGACGCCGCGGAGCCAGCGCTGCAGCTGCTGTTCCGTGTGGTATATGCGAGAGGTCGGACCGAAGGTGCGTAGCAAGGGCAGCAGCAGGCGCGTCAGCGGCTGGAGGCCGCGCAGGATGTACATCAGCGGTACGGAGTCGAGAAGTGTCGTCACCATGACCATCAGCGGGTCGTGCTGGTCCGTCTGGCAGTGCACGTCCATGGCCAGAGCGCACTTGCCGATCACTTCCATCGTCAGGCGGCGGAAGGCATCGTATACGTCGGTCGGCTGGCCTTTGAGTCTGTTGCTCTCCAGTACGTCTAGAAATGTTTGGATGGACCTGTTTATAGCCGGCGACATTCCCTTCAGCTTGTTGGTAGTAAAGGCCGGGTTGAGCACGCGGCGGACGTGCTTCCAGCGCTCGCCCCTCAGCGTAAGCAGGTTGTGGTCAGGGATTGTGAGTAAAGGGCTTTTATTGTCCTGCCGGTCTGGGAACGTGTCAATTCGCTTGATGAACACCTCGTGCACCAGGTCTGGGTCTGTGGTGCAAAAGGTGGGCTTCGTGCCGATGTACAGCACCATCGTCTTGCCCCGGCTTCCATGCTGCACTCCGTATTCATCGAACAGACGTTGAAATTCCGACCAACCGGTGGGACCTAGCAGTTGGGCAGTATGTCCGTGGAAGAAGCTGAATGGTGGCACTTTGTGTCCCAGTCTCTGGAGTGTTTGAAACTTGTACACCCGCCGTCTGCGAATCCAAAACACAGGTTAAGCACGTGAAGAAACGACACGCGTCATGCCTCCCACCACTCACAACCAATGAGTATGCATTGGACCATCGGGTGGCATATGCGTCCTCCATCGCCACATGCTAGTCATCAGCAATGTAGAAACACGGTAATCACTGTGTACTCTCGGTGATGGCCTGCTGCGAGTATTTGAAGGCTATGTTATGATGTAATGACGAACGATTCGACCCCAGAGTGATTGGGTTGAATGTTTGACATGATGTAGAATGCGTAGAGACGTACGACCCGACCTTGGGTCAGTGTATTCGTTATGGCGTCTTATGGCCAGTGAAAAACGGTAAATTTTGCAGCTTCGGGCGTTTTGGAGGAGGTTGAACAAATTATTGTGAAATTTGGCAATATTTTAGGGGGATACTGGTGGCCGCGAACTGATCTTTCCATGTGTGTAAATGCATTGGTCCCAGCTTGCGCGATCTGGAAATCAGCGTGTTACATTAGAAACAGTCTTCAAAAGACGCGGCACCGGTCGCTTCACGGTCGATTGCTTCTAACATTTTCGGTCTGGTAGCGTTGGACTGGCTGGATAATCTGCGGAGAGTACGCACATCTGCACGGCGCAGTTGGTTTCAAGTCTTTATGTGCTCGGGTTGTCGAGCTTCAAAACACTTCAAAACTGTCGAATTGGATGTTAGCGTGTGACCACTCTTGCGCGGCCGGGCGTATCGGTTCGCACTTTTGACTATACGGTTTGCTCGATGTTTTCCAAGCCGAAATGAGTTGATCTATTTTCGCTGCAACCATCCGTTCCCGAGTTGTGAACACAAATTCGATGCGCTGTCTGGCGATTTTTGGAAAGTTGTGGCTTTCGTGTATCTGTATTAAAGAGAGCATGCCGCTTTCTTTGCACTTTCCACTACTTCTAAAATCAGACGCATCTGATTTGATTGGTATTACCAGATGTTTCGAAATCCCTTTCAATAGCTCAGAATTGCCATCTAATGTAGCCGCTCCTACGGGAGATATCTCATAGAACTCCCTGCTCACCACTATGAAAGGAAGACATTTGATTTGCCTTGCTTTTTCAAAGTGTGTTCTGTATTGTTTGAAACACACTTATTTGTCAAAATGATTGTGTAATAAGCAGACATGTGCCTGGTTCCTAATATTGGTTCCTGGTTCCCACTGGTTCTTTCGACAAAACAAGATGCTGGATCCCGGTTCTCACTGGTTCTTTCGACAAAACAAGATGCTGGATCCTGGTTCCCACTGGATTTTTCGACAAAACAAGATGCTGGATCTTGGTTCCCACTGGTTCTCTTGGTGTAGCAAGACCCTGAATCCCGGTTCCCACTGGATTTTTTGACAAAGTAAAACCCTGGATCTTGATTCCCATTGCTTCTTTTGACAAAACAATACCCTGGATCTTGGTTCTCACCAGTTCTTTCAACTAAACAGGACCCGGGATCCTGGTTCTCCCTGGTTCTTTCGTCCTCTTGCAACCCATCGTCCCGTTGGCGTCGAGGATCAAATTTCATGTATTCTTGTTACCTTGGCACCGTACCTTTTTATGGTTCTTGATGCTGCTTGATGCGCAGAAATGTTGTGACCGCGCGCAGCAATGGCGCCGGGGTCGTGGGTGCTGTGTGTTTGCATCGGTCGGATGTTCGGTATCGTAGTTAGTTAAGTTCCAAGGTAAGAGTATAGATGGCCTGTTTTACGATGAATTATGATATGTTCTGCCGTAAAAACAACGATTGGTGTACCATACTCTTTTGTAACATGAGGTAGGAATGTACACCCTGACCTTTATGGTTGCTGCGTGATTCCACTGGAAATTTTGTGCTATTCTCGTGTTAACTTATATATATATATATATATATATACATATATATGTATATCATTCATTATTTCTGTGATATCTGCACGGAATAGCGGGCCTTTCCTTTCAAGATAACATTAGGCAGCTAACAGCCCAGTTGCAGACCTAGCAGGTCTGCATCATACCTGTGTCTTGACAAGTTGTTGATGTTGTTCCTCTGAATTTGTAGTGTTATTAACATTGAAGAACAGCAGATTTGTTTTATGGTATATGAGGAACAGCCTGACCAGATAACCAGCAATGTTCATAGACTTAATTCTATTAATTTACATTAAGAACAGTATACATTGCTGGACCTGAAAAGTGGGGAGTGTAAGCAGCAACTGCTGTGAAGAAATCCTGGTAAGAGTCTGTTTCTTGCTGGCCCCTGACCATAGTTTTAGAATGGATCTTGGTTCTTGCTGAAATTGAATCTCCATCTTAAGCCTGAGCTGGATCTTGGTTCTTGCTGGATCACTATGCATGTTCCAGGCTGGGTGCTGGTTCTTGCTGGGTCCCTCAACATAATTCCAGGCTGGATCTTGGTTCTTGTTGTGTCACTATGTCTGATCCAAGCTGGATCTTGGTTTGTGCGGGATCTGTGGTCTTCATGTCAAGCTGGATCTTGGTTCTTGTTGGATCTTTTGGCATATTGTCAAGCTGGATCCTGGTTCTTGCTGGATCTTTCGACTTATTGCCAGACTGGTACCTGGGTTCTTCCTGGTTTCAGAACCATGAACCAGGAACTGGTTCCCGGGAAGAAATTTTGGGAACTAGGCACAAGTCTGGTAATAAGTGCTACAAAAACTTGAAGGACTTTTCAAGAGAAAAATATCTGTAAACAGGGGGCTATCATACCGCGAATTTAGCGAAACGTTCAACATTCTGCTGTAGCTTTGATTTGTCCACTATGGCGTTTACTAGTGGCTCTTTTCGAAGCGCACTTTGTCGTTTTTGAAACCGAGTATTTCATTTTCTTAAGTCACGCACTGGTTTAAACACCAACCGATGCGCTTTTCTGTAACTGGTCATTGCTGCCGGCTGTGTCAATCACAAATTTTCATTTGCACTGATTTTATCCATACCAACAGAGGTCTCACTTTTAAAGGGAGAATTCCACATGCGTGTGGGACTTAACACTTAAATAGCCTTCTTGGAGATCATTTGGTGAGCGCACAGCCCTGGCCTTCTTTAGATCTAAGCCCCCTAATTTCTGGGCTACAGGCCACCGAAGATGTGTAGACTTTTACGTCCAGGCTATCACAAGGCCTCCCAAGCGTCCATAGCATCATAAAACGCCATCCAAATTGTGTCATTCTATTAGCAATGCGGAAATCAGGGTAAAGCAAAATGTACTTGTCAAGTCGTTCACATCTGGCGTTCGTAATTTCCAGATATAACGGCCGTCAGTTGGCGCTTAATCAATGTTGTGTAATGTACCACGATGTAATTAAACTATGAGGTATTGAGGAGCATATTTACTAAACAATCACTTATGTTGTCTGGAGGAGTCTTTTCCCTAAAAGTGCATCTGTAGTCATAAGTGACCTTATTCGATCATATTTGATGCTTACTTTAATGCCTTAAAATGACCATGTTTGAACTAAAGCTTGTTTGAGCCTGGTTGAGCCTTGAGCTAAATGAGCTAAAGCTTGCTTGTGAGAAATGCCATCGTCATTCATAATATCATTACGTAAGTAAAGCAAGTTCATAATATGTGTGTAACATATGCCAGCAAAGTGCTATTGTAAGAGCTGCAATCCGATATTGAATTGTTGGTACGCCATCGCTGACGGCATGGCTAGCACTGGCTAGTGGAAATGTGGCTACCTACGTGTGAATGCACGTAGCTGACACTTGGCCGGTACAGACTGCCAACTGTCAGGTTTAGTGCAGTCTAGTCCACATTGTATGCTATATGTGTAATGGGTCTGGGTAGTAGGCGCGAGGTAGAATGTGCTAGCCTTTATGCGAGACTTGAGAGAGTTGCATGGTAACAGGTTACAAGAAAGGTGTTGAGACAAATAGTTCACGAGCCATAAGACAACAAGCCAGAACTGAGTTAGCTCTTTGATTTTGCAAGCTGTGTGAGTTATGAATCAAATGATTCAATGCAAGCAGTGAGTAAAGTAGGCTGAATAAAAAATGGAACGGCTTTGAGTCGTGAGCTGAATGGGACCTCAGAAAATGTGAGCTAATCCTGAGCCGGCTTGACAAATTTGAGTAGAGCACAAGTCTGCTTAAAATGTGTTTACATTAGCCATTTGCTTAAGACCTTTTTCCTTCACAAATTTTGTCTTGATGATCTTCATGTTTAAGATGTTTTTGTTACCATATTTTGGATCAAAATTTCTTAGTACGATAATTTGCTACACACTATTTTGTCCTTAAACCTGTTCGTTACGACCATTTCCTAAACGGTTCGTCGCCCCAAGATCGTTCGCCTTGTAACCATGCAATGCAACTTATTGGCCAACACCACAAACTCCCTAAACGCCAGGGGCGGATCCAGAGGGGAGCCATGGGTTCATGATCCCCCCTTGGGCCCCGAAGAGGCCCATGGATTCGGAGGGGGCCAATAGCCGGCCGAACAGACGCAGTTTGTTTACACGGAATGCAACAATATTGGACGTCTTTGGCCTTCCAGGCGACCAATACCAGTTGCAAGCGAAAGTGAAGGGCCCACGAACAGACAAAAATCATTCTTCACTGATTGAGAGGGTCGCGATTGAGAGGTCTTAAGACTGCTTACGCTGTCCAGAGGCCCTACGTTGTTTCCGGGTGCCCTGGTTGTCCACTTGCTGGGTTAACCTGATCGTTAAAGGGCGTTCTACGTTGCCCTTGATTTCTTTGCATTTGCACGGAGGGCCCTGCGCCTTCGCTGGGGCCCTTCTTGCTAGCGTGCGTGCCAGGGCACTCTTTGTCAGTCAGGGACCTTCCACGTATTCTTCCCATTAGCCCGAAAGGCTCTATATGTTCGGGCCCCATATGCCGGGATATTCTTGTTTGCTCAGGGGCCCTTCACGTTGGTCACTCTTAACCCATCGGCACAATCACGATATACTCATGGGCGCTCTGCATTGGTCTAGGGAAGTGCCAATGTTCTGTCACTTGCTTAGGGCCCTATGCTCTTGTCTTACGCTCACCTGTTAACCCACTTGGACTCACTCGGTCGTTCGGGGCCGCCCAAATCGGGTTTTGGATGCTTTCTATTTCAATGAAGGGCCCTATGCATTTGTCAGGGCCCCTATCTGTTTAACCTGCTCGGGCGCACTGGATTGTTCGGGGGTCCTGCACATTGGGATTTGGCATTTGAGTGTGGGGTCTACGCTCCTGTCGGGGCCATCTGATAGCCTGCTTGGGCACACTCTATCTTTCGGGGGCCCTCCACACTGGGTTTTGGGTACTTCTCATTTGAATGGAGGGCACTGCACTCTCGTCGGAGCTCCGTTCGATAACCTGCTTGGGCACACTCGATCGTTCGTGAGCTCTCTTCATTGGGTCTCGTGTACTTCCAATTTGGATGGAGGGCCATACGCTCTTGTCGGGATCCCTATCTGTTAAACTGCTCTGACCCACTTGATTGTTTAGGGGCCCTCTACACCGTGTCGTGGGTATTTCTTATTTGAGTGGAGGGTCCCATGCTCTTGTCGGGGGCCTCATCTTTTACCCTGCTCGGGCACACTCAATCGCACGGGGACCTTCCACATTGTGTCTCGGGTACTTTCTATTTGAATGGATGACCCCACACTCCTATCGGGAACCATATCTGTTAACATGCCCGGGTGCACTCGATCATTACTGGGCCCTCTATGTTGTGCCGTTGGTACTTCTTATTTGAATAGAGGGCACTATATACTTGTCGGGGCACCAACTATTAAACTGCTCGGCGAATGGCGGATCCGGAGGAGGGGGATACCAAACTGTGCTCACCCCTCGCGCCCCCTGGGGACCCATAGGCTTTGAAAAGGGCCATGACCAGGCGAACGATGCAGCTTTCAAACACAGAACACAACAAAATTGGACGTCTTGAGGCGTCCAGACAACCAAGAACAGTCGCAAGTGAAAGTGAAGACTGTGAGTAGACAAACTCTTTACGCTGCTCAGAAGCGTTACGATCGTTCAGGGGCATATCACGTTGGTCCTGCGTTCTTCTCGTTTGCTTTGAGGACCTCATACCAGTTGACGGAAGCCTCTTCGTTGGGTCTGCCGACACCCATGACCGCACAGATTTAGTCGCTGTTTGTCTTGGTGCCTTAAGCTTAGAGCGGCAGTTGGATACGCGCCGATGAATTCTTACGCGCAACTGTCGAGCAGGATTTTACGTGACGCCGATGTCGTATGTGATATTTAGGTTGGTTATTGAATTTGCTACACCTTTTATACCTGTACGTCACATTCTTATCCATCTAATATGATGCATGTTAATGCTAGGATATGTTGTACTCCTTCATAACAAACAAAATAAAAGCTCCGCATTCGCTATCGGCCATCAGCTGGTCACATCGGCCAGCCGGCCAGCTGTAAATATATGTGGGATCATGTTCTCGCTAGATTTTAATGGTATCTAGCTGCCAACTTTAGCATTTTTGCTAGCTTTCCGAAAAAAACTTAGCCTCAAAATGACGGGATTCACCATGATCTGAAGAAAACGAGTAAGTTCCGAGTATGTGCATGCGTAGCACACCTAGTTTTCTAGGCATGCGCACTGTAAGTTGGGTTTCCGTATAAAAATAATGTGCTAAGAATCTTATTATTTGATGGCCGGACTTTGAGGATTTCTTTGCGGGGGGGGGGGGGCTTAACTCTGGGGGTTTCACAATCTTGGGTATCCCCCTTGGCGAAATCCTGGATCCGCCCCTGCCAAACGCGTACTGCTGCGCGCACTTACATGCACAGAAGGACAATCCCTCCTGCGACGAACGTCAGAAGCGTCAGCCACGACACGGCGCCGAGCACCAGGATCGCCATCTGGTGGCCGTCTGGCGTGTCAACCCGAGCGAGCGATAACCGTTGCAGGCCTCCGCCCCCCCCCCCCCCCCCTCTGTTCAGTGGCGCCGCATCGCAGAGACTTATGACGATCAAAGCTGCGGTCGCCATTGCCAAACGCCGTCCACAAGTCGCAACCTATAACGTCATACGTAAGTGCGTCACAGCAATTCTTACGGCTTGGATGATGGTCGCTTATGTATGACGTAAACATTTGCGACGTCAAAGATAGCAACTCAGGAGGCACATTGCCGATGCCACCAAACCTTCAACATTTCACACCACTTGGTTGGTGACCTTCCCTGCGAAGAGGATGGTGACCTTGGACCACGCCAAATGTCACCAAAAATGCACAAGAAAAAAGATAAAAAAGAAGACTGCGATCAGCCAATGCTTCGAGCGTATGCTTCAGACCACCGCAAAACCTTGAATAGCCCATACACCTGGCGAGGAACGTAGCTTTACAACCGAGTTGGCGGGCTGAATAGTGAAAAATGATCTAACCTGCCCCCCCCCCCCCCCACAAACATGCCAACAAGTAGGGCTCTCCTCGGATTTTGCCCACTTTCTTCCTAAGTATAAGTGAAGGAGGGATGAAGCCTAGGTTTGGGGGACGGGCGAACCCTTACAACTGAATAGGACACGATTCTCCAAGCCATAGTCGATGCCTTGTCATTTCTGGAAAATTGCGACCCTGGATCAAGTCAAAAGGCGTCAAAAATTCACAAATTCACTTCACAAATACCTGCAGATAGCCCGTGCTCCGAGCCTTGGAAGCGAAAGCACTACGTCATGTGCAATGGGAAAATTAGCTAACAGACGGCCCCATGTTCCGAGCCTAAGCGACCAATCTCCTCAAAACCTTCACCAGCCGACGGGAATTGGTCGATAATCTTTCCTTCCGACGAGCTCGGGAAAGTCAAAGGTTACAAAAACGCAAAACTGTCAAAATTGGCTGCATGCAACTCATGCTCTGAGCCTATGGGACTTAACGGCACGAAAACTTTTATCAGTCGATGCCAGTTCTTCAATATCATGTCCTTTTTGGAACATGGTGACCCGCGGACAGGTCAAATGTGACCAAAAAACCGAAACCACCTGAAATTAGTTTGCGCACAACCCTATGCTCCGATCCTACGGGACGGATCGGAACGAAAACTGACCAATTGGTGCGCTATGGTCGATGACTTCTCCTTTCCAAAAGATACAGCGATCTGTGGTCATGTCAAAAGTCATCAAAGATGCCTTAAACAAACAAAAAACAGCTTTTAGATGACTCCGTGTTCTGATCGCACGGACCAATCACCACAAAACCTTCACCGGCCGACAGGCATCGTCGATATACTGTCCCTTCCAGAAACGCGGTGAACTCGGGTCAGGACAGAGACATGTCCGTAAAGTTAGTGATTTATTCAGCAATTTTTTCAGCGACGAGTTCCGACTTCCCTGATAAAGGGTCCCAAGGTCAATTGTGGCATGAGACCACAAAAAATTGACACTCATTTTGCAACATCATGTGACCTTCATGTGATGCGATTACGGAGGCGTGTTATGTATGTATAGCACAGTGCATGTGGTGCGGTCCAGGACGAGGTCAGCGGCCGTCGCGGAGCCGGTGCCAGCCCGTCCCCACTGAAACCTGACGCCGGGGAGGCGATGGGCGGGGGGACGCACGAGCCGGGGGCGCCATGCCACGCCCGGGGACAGTGGCGAGAGAGAGCTGAGGCGGGGCGATGAGCTGATTTGACCTAAAACCTGCTAGCAGAAGTGCTCAAACGGTGATATTCATTTTGGAAATTTAATCTAGAAGACATTTCTTGAATTTTTCACCCCTGCATTTCGGGAGTGATGCAATTTAGTGGTCAAGTTTCCTCGGTAAAAAAAATGCGCGGAGTAAAGTTCTCTACCAGGCCTTGCTGGTGTTTGCATCACGCTCTGCTTTCGTAGTGTGGTGGTGAGACCAAAAGAATAAAGGATGCGTTAAACCTTGACGATAAAACCAATGGGCACACAGCTGCCGATTGTGATGCATCTTGTAAACAAACCAAACTTAACGCGTGCAAGCGGCTGAAGTCGCTGGGGTTCTTGGGCTTGAAGGTATCTGGCGCCCTTGCTCTGTGCATACATACACATGATTCAGATGTAGGTGAGGCAGGACATAGCCATACGTGTCCAGGCTCTGTGGAGCCTCGTTTATGCTTGGTGGTTTTCAAGTGAGCTCGGTTTGGGATGACATCTGAAAACCTCAGAAAAGGAAATAAGGGTATCGCATACGCAATTAGACAATATCAGGCATGAGTGAAAAATTCACATAAAATAAGGGGAAAAGGAGTGAAAAATTCCTCCTCATACGGTGTTAGATACACCAAAAGTTGGGAATTCTGGGACACTGCTTATTATGCAATGTCTGAATGGAGCTGAGGTAAATGATTAAGGATGTTGCATATGAAAGTAAAGAAAGGCAGCAAAAGAAATGCTACCGCAATAATAGAGTGGAAGCCAATAGAACACGCCCACGAGGAAATGTGATTGCAAGAAGGACTTACAAACACACGGTTGTGTGTGACTACATTGACGAGAAATCCCACACGTCGACCTCATGTGTCGTATTGTCGGCCAAGTTGATGGAGTTCATGGTTCACCTATCGTACCGTACGCCGCGGCTGTGACGTCACAGGGCTCACCCGTCGTGCTGCCGGCAGAACACCACCCAGGATTGCGATGGCCTGCAGCAACAGGCCGTACTCGGAGCCGGCCTCGATCAGCTGCCGCAGGCTGGGTCGCTGCGTGGGCAGCAGCAGCATACCGAGCACGGCCAGGCCGAACACGACGGCCAGCGCTGCGGTCAGGCAGCGGCGGCCAGCAGCGTGGCGGCCGCTGCAGCGGGCCCCAGCCGCCGACAGCCAGCGTCCGGCTGCTGAGCCAGGCGTGCAGGTGGCCAGGCTGGGCCCATCGCCACAGACGAGCTGACGACAGCGGGCGAGCAGTGACGGGGCCTAATTTTTCACCAAATCAGAAATGCGCGAGAGCTAAGATAAAAATAATCAAAACCCATCGCTTGTCTCAATAGCATCGAAAATGGGTAAATTTTGAAACGGAAGCAAAAAAGTTGGATGACAATTTTCGTTTTCCATTTTCCAAAGTTCATTTGACAGGTAATGTGTGTTCTTCACGAGGCTCAGAACAAATCCTTAAGCGTAACAATTATGAACTTATGGGATGCTGCTGAAACCCTAATGTTTTTGCGATCCACAGGGGAGAGAGATGAGAGAGAGAGAGAGATGAGAGACGAGAGAGAGAGAGAGAGAGAGAGAGAGAGAGAGAGAGAGAGAGAGAGATGAGAGAGAGATGAGCGGGATGAGAGGAGAGAGAGAGAGGAGAGAGAGAGAGAGAGAGAGAGAGATTGAGATGAGAGAGAGAGAGAGAGATATATATATATATATATATATATATATATATAACCAGACTGCTACCTACATCATTTGAGTTAATAAATAGCCTCTATTAGTCGAATGCAATGCAAATGAGACCAACCAGTTATCTATATCATCCAATTTCAAGCTCTACTTATGGAATATTTACAACATTTCGCGTTGCCCCTTAGCTGTGGAACAATATAACGATGCCATTTCCCACAAAAATAGTTGATAAACCTGGATTAATCATCATTGCAGATAATATCATCCTAGAGTATTTTGTCAATACACGTAACTAATATATCTGAAGCTTTCGAAATGATTGCCTGTTTTGTCCTGTAGGTTTGTATCTCACTTCATACTTAGCGTGGTGCATCGTTCGGCGAGCAAGCGACGGGCGGATGGACACACGGGAGCTCCCCGTCTCATTACAAAAAACGTGTTTCTCGGGTATTTTTAGCATTTGAAAGCAAACTACCAGTCTTTTCAAAATGTGAGAGTAGCACATTTTAGCCTGCACCTTTTGCCACTGGGTGGATGTGGCAGGTTTCCTTTTCCTCAAAAGTGCATCCGTACATGCTTATCAATTAGACTATTGCAGAGACTGACATGCACGTTATCGTCAAATGTCCTTTTTATGCGTCGCATTTTTTAAAGCCGACAGAATGTTTAAAATTGCAGTACCTACACAGGTAAGCTGGATATATTTAAACTTCATCTGTAAAAGATGGAAACAGTCCCGCAAAAACTATAGTCACACTTTTTGATTGAAGAAAGCTGTGCTGAGCTTCTTCTTTCCGCCATCCTTCGATAGCGTTCTAGTTTCGCGTTCTAGTTTCGTAGTGATTTATTGTAGCTCTTAGTTATCACTTGACTTCCCAAAAGGCAATTGAGGAGTGCTTTACGGTGTGCTGTCCCATCTCAGCTACGCGAGAAATTTGAAAAAAAGCTAAAATGATGACGTAAATGTAAAGTTATTATTTTCGCGAGAGAAGAAATCGTTACATTCAACGCCCACACCAATCATGCTCACCGCATAACAGAGAAGATAAGACCATAACTGAGCAACGTATGTAGGTTCTCCTTTCAGACACCATTTCACTGAATTTCATTCGCGAATCACTGCATCATTTGTATATTTGGCGCTAAACCACAAAACCTGAAAGTATGACTGTCAGCCACCTCATCACAGTGCGCCGATAAGTGGGAACATTAGAAACTCAGCCAGGTACTTAATATGACATTATTTTCATGTCAGCAGTCTGTATACTTCGAGTTCCACAATGACTCCCAGAAACGCGAACAGCGATAAATACTAAATAGGCATCCAGTGCCATCGTGCCGTCCAAGAATATTACTCCTATTATTCAAGCCATCTCGCCAACATTACAACACTGTTCAAATGCATTTCAAGAACTACCAAAAGTGACATTTGCTTCTCAAGCACTTAGTCTGACGTCTTGCGCCTGACGTGCTGACGCACCAGGCGCTTGGGAATACAATACCGCTATCCACTGTCACGCAGGCACACGCTGCTTTACTCTACCAACCGCTGAATGAGATGGTGAAACGGTCGCTCCGAATGCACCAAAAACCCACCCTTGTGGAAGTATATAACCCACCCTTGTATGCATCTGCGGCGTGAAATCCTTGTCGGGACAGACGCTCAAAAGTGCTCCCACCATGTGTCGCACAAGCTTTCCACCACAGTTGGCTAAAAAATCACTATACCTTTAATGAATGGTTCGTATCAGCAGCATACGTTTTCAGCTGATACAGTTCTTATTCGACCTTTGTCCTGGCATAATGGATTCAATTGCTGACTTAGAGACCTACAATATTTTGCTAATCGTGGCTCTCGTTAGGACTAATCCACTGGTGTTTTCCGCAAGGTCCTGTCGTTGTTAGGTTGGAGACGGCGGGGAGGGGAGGGGTCACATCGATCCTATCTCATATCACTCCACGCTATGGAAAAGGACCAGTCAGGGTGAGGGTTAAGAGCATTTTACCTAAACGCACTAGTGAAAAACATTGTTTCGAACTGATCAAAAGATCAACGCAAACATCCCCATTATGCAAACATCCCCATTATGCAAACATCCCCATTATGCAAACATGTCTTATCCTATTTCCTTTGTGGCAATCCCAAAAACCCATCATGTGTTTTTGTTTGAGTTCTGATAGCTGGTGACAAATCTGGTAAAATCGAGACTGCAAATAGCGATGCGATATATTATTTGCTTGGAACGTGGTCAAGCTTAGTCAAGAACTTAGCAACAGTAGGTACGTGTGCTTACCATTGAAACATGAAAGTATCGGTAACGTTTCATCAGCATTTCATATACGCTCATCGGTTATTTACCTCCATGTCAATATCTTTAATACGGAAATAGACAGGGTTTATGGTAAGCATTGCAAATTTCAGTGCTATATCGCTATGTCATTATTGAGCAAGAGGAAGGGCATCTTCCATCTGGCATTTGGCATCATGGCATCTCCGTTTTAGGCGCTTTGGTCCTTTCGTGGTCTAAAATGTAGCTCCAATACAAGGCAAAACCTTCGTTGAAATAAACAAATGGCTGGAGTTGGTACTTCCGAATTACTTGGTTAACAGGCGTTCAAAAATTGCAACAAATAATTTCAATAAGTAATTCACGTTGGCTCATATAAGCCAAGATTAAGGTACTGTCATCTAGTGGATGCCGCGGGAGGCCTTCTTATCCGCACAGTTGGCCCCGGATCGACGAAGAAACCTTACTTCACGTTAAAAGATCCCTGGTCGCTGCAGGTAGTCCATTAACTGGTACACTGACCCGGTTTAACATAACGGATGGCTGGCTGGAATAGGTAGTGGGGGGGGGGGGGGGGGGGGGCGCCGTTCGGTTCGGCTCTCACTGGAACAGGGGACCTCCATTGTCTCAATGTAAGCCTTCATAATACATTCGGTGCAATTTACAGCCCTGCCCTTCTTAGGGCTTGAAATCCTCTAGTTTATAGGCTACACGCCCACGAAAATGCGCAGGCTATTTCGTGCACACTATTTGAAGGTCATGCAGGCATGCATAAGCGCATAGAAGCGCAATTTGAAGGAATATTTCACAGTTGAAGATCTTGAAGCAAGCATCAGATATGATAAAACAAACCCACTTTAACTGTTGACATGCATCTCAAGTGGAAAAGACTACGCTAGACAGCACCGTTTTCTGTTTCGTGAATATACTTCTCAATGCGTCATGATTTGATTACCTTGCGTACCTTGCACAACAATGATTGAGAGCCAAATAACGGCTGCTATATCTGGAAATCACGCTCACGAACACTCACAAAATACACATGAACGCCTCGAGAATTGTATTTTTTGGCGTTGATCGCCGCTAGGCTTACAGACCGGCAGAATTTGGGTGCAGTTATTATGACGTGATGAAGGCCGAGGTGACGTTGCAATACTCCCCCCCCCCCCCCCCCGATATACCTTTCACCATTTTCGCGGGCGTGTTGCTCAGAAACTAGTGGGGCTTAGGTCTTGAGAAAGAGAGGATTGTGAACGGCACCGAAAGGTCTCCAAGATAGCTATTTTAGTTCAAAACCTCGTACAAGCGTGAAACACTCCCTTCAACTCCTACCTTCCCATTAGCCATGTGACGTTCAAGACCAAGACAAAGAGAATCGTCGAGCTGTTCATATTCGGCGTATGTGAGGACGATTTCCAGACGTAATGGGCGCCAATTGGCTCTCAATCGACGTTGAGCGGGCTGCGCAAGTTTCAATCACGAATTAGGTTTTGTGCTTCACAATAAGTTGAACATGGGCGCCAGGGTCTCAGATAAGGAATTGCCACTGGGGGGAGGGGGGGGGGGGGCGGGGGCAATACAAACAATTATCGTAGCCTTCATCCCTCATTAATCAAACCTCTCAGTCGATTTCGCTGAATTTTTTAAGATAGCACCGACCGGGAAATCAATGCAACAACCATGGATGGAGCTTTTCCAAAAATGTTGGTGGGACCCAGGCCCCGCCAAAAGCATAACAGGAGATTCCGCCTCTAGAAGGATCGTCCAAATCAATGATGAAGTGAAATAACTTCGAAGCTATCTCCATTTCAGGTTATTTTATCCGGAACTGTCAGCTGAACACAAACGAGACATGTTTGCTGAGTTTCAATTATCTCCACGATGCGCATTTGGTCTACTTCTTCCGCAAACACTGGAGAACTGCTAATAACTTTTGTCACGTAGTAATCGATCCGAATACAATGAAAGCCTGCACGATGCATCTCACTTGACTCATTTTCGGCAATGCGCCTTCACGCCTTGACGCAAATGCATGGTAATGGATGAATGCAGCCTTGGGACATCGGACGCCAATGCCATCTTACTGAGGCTCCGAAA